CGTCGTCATAGGTACAATCTCGCAGTGGGGCGAAGTCTCCAAGACGAAGAAGACCGCTCGCACCAAGGCCAAGGACGCATCCTCCGCGCCCGCCGTCGCGGACTCGTCAGCCGCCGCTCGAACTGCCCGTGGAGGCCGCAGCGCTGCCGACGGAACTCGTGGTCGCGGCAGGGCCACGGAGAGAGGAGGCCGTGGCGGACGTGCTAGGGCAGCCCATCCCACCAACGGATCCCGAACCAAGGAGAACCAGCAGCTGTCTGTGCCTACCGAAGAATCCCCCGCCTACAAAGACGACAAGGCCAACGGCGCCGAGGAGAGGCCCGTACTCGCCGAGAAGCCCGTCGTTGCCGAATCCCTCAACAAGCCCGCCGCTCCTCAGGTCAAGACCTGGGCCAGCATGCTCCGACAGTCCACAGCTCCCAAGGTTGTGCCCGCCCTCCCCAAGGAAGCTCCTGCTCCCAAGCCCGCCGAATTCGTCGAACCCGAACCCGTCCCTGAAACCGCCGCTCCTGTTGAACCTGAGCCTGCCCAACCCGAACCCGAGGCCGAAGCAGAGTCCACCCCCGTTGCTGATCAGGCCACTCCTGTCGCTGCCCCCGCCGTCACCGAACCACCTGCCGAGATCAAGCCCTCCCAAGCCGAGCTCACCGAATCCAACCTGGAGCAGGTTGTTGACGTCTCTGCGCCCCCGCCGACCGACACCGCTGCGAGCACAGCTGCTGGCTCTTGGGACCCTCGACAGAGCCCTCCCAGCACCAATGCCACTCCTCTCTCCGCCGCCCAGCAGCAGCAGCAAGCTCAGAGGTCCGCCACTAGCGGCTATGCTGCTACCGCTCTGAAGGCTACCACTGAGAGAGCTGCACCTCGCACTCCGAGCTTCCAGCGACGAGTCCTCGACCAGGAAGAGGCCGTGCGCATGCCCGGTAACCGGGAGGTGGATCGCGCTGCTGTGCAGTTCGGCGCCTTCAACCTCGCTGACGACGAAGATATTGATGGCGAGCGCGAGGAGCCAGAGACCCGAGCTCAGCCTCCTGCCGACTCTCCTGTTGCCGTTCCCCGAACCTCTCTTCCTCCGGCTACCCAGCCTGTTGCTATGCCGGAGACCTTTGCTCCTAAACCTACGACTAACCCTCCTCCTGGAATGACACCTACTGGTATGCTCTTTTATTCCCCCCCCCC